CACACACACACACACACACACACACACACACACATGCATACAGAAATAAATTTGCTTTTCTTTTCATCAGTGTAGTCTGTTTTAGTCTGTTTCAGTCTCTCTCATCACTGGATTCTCATCTGTCCATGACCTGTTCCTCCTAGGGGCCGTGGGGGCGCCATTCCTCCTCCCCCCCCACCTGGACGGGGTGTCCTCACCCCTCGAGGGACTACTGTGACTCGTGGAGCTCTTCCAGTGCCTCCTGTAGCAAGAGGTGTCCCTACTCCACGAGCCCGCGGAGCACCGGCAGTGCCGGGATACAGGGCACCCCCTCCTCCAGCCCACGAGGCTTATGAAGAATATGTAAGTACCCTCGAGAAACCCATTGTTAGGAAGATCTCAATTCATTGGGTAACAAGCTAACCCTCAAAGACATTCATATGCCATGAATATAGCAGATGATGTTTGCTGCAGAAGGCAAACGTCATTTGCATCAGAAGTTAATCAGTGCATTTAAACAAGAGCTTTTTTTGAGAAAAGCTTTTATTTTACAGGGACCATGATTATTCGTACCAGTTAAGTAGCTTGCATTTTAAGAATTTTCCTATCTTTAGAAGATCAATCTCAAAAGGGAAATAATTATGAATATAATGTAAAATGTCTGAATATTCAGAAGCTTCTGGAACATGTTAAAGACTAGTATAAAACTCACTCGGCAGTATTTGACTATTATTGTATTATAAACTGTGGTAATAATGTAAGACCATGTGGTTTGTCTTTCACTTAAATATCCTTGCTCTGTCTTTCACCATATGAAACATATGGAATTGGCAGATATGAAGAATTCAAAAAATATAGAATGAACAGAAGACATGTAGTGTCTGTAAGCAGTCCCCTCGCTTCCCAAGCACTCTGTCACTTGATACACCCTTTGATCTTTCATCCAGGTTGTTAATATTCCACTGGTCACATTGTATTCTAGTCCCTGTAACTAGAATACTGTGAAAATTATAAAAAGGCACAGTTTCCTATTCACTTGTGTAACCATAGTAAATCCACTGTAAATGTTAAAGTGAATTGATACAAGCCAATCGTCATCTTATGAAACAGATTCATTTTGTCTTTAACCTTTCCAGCATGCTCATCCCTGGTCTAGGGTATTATTTTATCCAGCCACCCACACACATGCTGTCTTCTTAAATGTCCTCTGTAAATGGTTACTTATTAAGCATAAACTCTTCAAGGACAGTTACTGTCACATGTGGGGCACTCAAAACACATAAATGTTCAATGAAGTGGTTAATACCCAAGTAAAACTTAATCCAAAATATAGTGAACATGATTGATAGGTATCACTAAGAATGTATTAGTGCTGAGAGTATGTTAGTGTTTAGGAATGACGTTACTGCTTAGTATGAAACATTGACTAATATTTGCAAGAGGGAAGAAAAGTTATGTTTAGAAATCCATTTCTACTGGCAAAGGAGAAATGTGTTCATCTAAAGTATCTTTTGATACCAAAAAAGTTAAATATCAATATCAGGCATCAATATTGAAAAACTTAATCTGAAAATTACAAAATTGGAAACAAAATATATTCTACCCTGTAAATATGACCACAAATTAGGAAACACAGAGCCAGGTCTTGATTTTGCCATCTCTTTCCTGAGAAATAAGTATGAATATGTATGAAATAAGTACTTGTTAAATGAATGGATTAAAAATCCACAATGGGATGATGGAATTTTTTTAAACCTCTCAGAAACCTTCTATCTCTGCCATTTTTATGTGCATTGTTTTGTTACCATGGTACTTGTGTCTTCCAAACAGAAGCTTAAGCAGTCAGATCTCTATTTCAAAAATTAAAAGAGAGAGAAAACCTTTTCAGGTCGTAGTGGTCAACATTGTTATTAATCAGAGAAGTTACAGGGCATGGAGGGCACTGTGAAAGAGAAGAAGACTGGCAAAACATTGTAAGCTTTTGTGTAGCTACTAACACCCGGTAGCCTTTCACATGCCTTCCAGTTTATAGTTGGATAGATCACTGGAATGCAGGCCAAATAAGAGTAAGCTACAAAAGCATGAAGAGTTTATAGAAACATGAGTGAAAGGGTTATATACTGAATAGGAGAGGGTGGTTTTTAGAGTAAGTGAAAGAAAATATGTAAAGCCATACTATCTGAATTTTTTATTTAGATTCTAAGGTATCCAGTCCCTTTTATTCATTCACTCAATCATTTACTGAGCCTCAGTCTTATTTCAGGCACTGTTCTCAAGGTCCTGGAGATGTAGCTGTGAACAAAACAGACCAAATATCTGCTTTCATAAAGTTTGCGTTTTAGTGAGGGGAGACAGAAAACACACATATCAACAAATGAATGAAGTAGTGCCAGGTAGAGATAAGTGCTCTGGAGAGAGGTGGATGGAGGACACTACAGTAGCATGGGCTGTTATGGAAGGTCTCTCTGCCATAAAGACTTGAACAAATGCCTAATGGAGCAAGGGTCCAGGCTGAGAGGATGCCTCCATAAAGGGCATCCCTGGTAAAGGAAACAGCAAGCACAAGTGCCCTGAAATGGGACCTGCCTAGAACATTTGGGGGCTAGCAGCAAACAGAACATTAAAGCTGGAGCAGAATGTGTGAGGCAGAGGTCGTAGATGAGGTCAAGTAGATGAGGCTTTTGGAATTCTGGGCAGGACAGTGCCATGATCAGATTTATGTTTTAAGAGCCTCTGTTGACATCATGGAAAACAGAATATGGGGTAGGAGTGGGCCAGTAATAGAAACAGAGACTGCTGAGTGACTCATTGCAGTATCCTCCCCTGGCAAAATGATGGCTTGGAGGGGATGAGAAGAGAGATCAGAGTGTGAGAGCACTGGGAAAATGATCTGTTAGGTTTTGGATGATAAAATGGATGTAATGTGTGAGAAAAGAAAGTAAAAGGAATTTTTGCAACGTTTCTGTGAAGTGCAGGTTAAACTGAACCTTGAGCTGAGCAAGTGGGTTAAATCCAGATGTCCTTTATTGAGATGAGGAGTACTGGGGAGGGAAGCGGAAAGTCTGGCCTGCGGGAAAGTCAGCTGTGTTGCTGGGGGGACAGGACCTGACTTTTGAAACATACAGCAGCAGCCGGAGGTTTGCATTCTTGTCATGTCACTAGCTGTGCAATTTATAATCACTGAGGCTCGGGTTTCCTGTCAACTTGGGTTTTCCTTTCTACTGGAAAGGGGAATTGTGCTCATCTAAAGTATCTTTTATACAATAGGAGGTGTCAATATTGAAAATTTTAGACAATCTTAAACGTGCAAAATTGGAAACAGAAAAATACATTCTACCCTGTAAACAAGCCCACAGATCAGAAAACACAGAGCCCCGTCTTGATTCTGCTCTTTCCTGAGACATAGTATGTATGAAATAAGTACTTGTTAAGTGAATGAACTAAAAATCCACAGCAGAGATGGGGGGGCGGGGTGTTATATGAATAGAGAGTCATGAAGTCCAGTAATAGCAATACCATCAGGCCTTAAGAAAGTTCTAGAACGAGGAACTAGAAAATTGTCAAGAATCTCTTTTCCTATCTCATCTCTGTTCTCTGCATATATGTTTCCATTCACTTTAGTCTACAATCTACTGGATCTTTGGCTTCTCTTGATCAACGTATGTCCACCCCAGGGCTGCCACATTTGTGTCCAGTTCTCGTCACCTACAGACACTGACTGGCTGTCTGTCTCTCAGTCCCAGCCTACATCCCCAGGTGAGAGAGTCATACTCACCCAGGCTTGTCAGGTGTCCAACACTAGTCAGTCAGCCATGACTAGGGACAGTTTCTGGATGTTAAGTCTGGGATCTACTACTTACCAATCAGCAGTGCAAGGGAAGAGTAAGGGTCAAGTTCACACAATATGAGCATGGTTATTGGGGGCCCAGCCCCAAGGATAATGTGGGGAGACACTAGTTACCAGAGAAGGAGAATATATTTTGAACTTGGCAGATTTCCCAAAATATATCTATGATAACATTCTCTTGATAACAGGCAAAAGTAGATAACTGTTCTTTAAATGCCCTTTTATGCCATGTTTTATAAAAAGCTGTCATATGTCATATTTTAATTTTTCCCCTGTAAACAATTCAATGATTATGTACAGAGTTTAATACATGGCTGATAAGCTGCTGTCAGCATCTCTGAAGTCTCAGACCAAGCTCAGATTAACACTCAAGAGCTGCTAGTCTCTGCTCTAATTTTAAACTATTGATTCCTCTGTAAGGGGTAAGAAAAACAAAAGTTTAAGTGTTTCCGTAACAAAATAATAGCACCATGCTGAGTTGATGGTGAAAATCTCAAAGGAGTTCTTAACTTTCAGATAAAATTTCTAGAAAAGGTTCCCTTTATTATAAATGACACTGTGAGCCAATTCACTCCTCAGACTTCTCTTTCTTCCCTGCTGGGTCCCAGCATTACATTTCTGACCACACAGAATGGATACAGGTAATCAAATCCACTCCTTGCAGCCTGCCTGACAAGCAACAGCTTACAGTGAATGAGATTGCTGTTTAAAACCATCATTAGTGTTAGCAGAGTCTAAAAAAAATGTGAATTTTGGTTTAATTGTTACACATCCTAATCCAGACTTTCAATATTTTAAAGTTTCTTTGCACTGACCTTCTACGAAGAGGTACATTTAAATTTTACAGATCCATCATCATGATCAAAATAGATTTGCAGAATTGAAAAGTAGAGTTCAAAAAATCTCCCACATAACAAAATATGAAGTTGATCATCTGTATCAGTGGATAATATGTTAAGAGCGAGTAAACCGAAACATAAACTTTTGAATGCCTACTAGGTTCCAGTCACTATTTTAATTAACTTAATTTCATGATAACACAACAACCAGTTATCGATGAGTGATTTTAGTAGGTGAGGAATTAAGACTTGCATTCAATTTTCTGTCTCCAAACCTCTGTATCATTGTCATCATAAGATATCCTACATAGTACTTGCTTCACAGAGAACTCACATGCACGTATACAGACCATTTGTTCTTCACACCTCCCATCCAGACCACTAGTCCGGGCTTGAATCCCCTCAGCAATATTTAGGACATCTACCAGCCTCTACAGGAGCACCTCCAACTATGGAGAACTCAGTACCTCCAGAAGCTAGGTGCTGGACATGCACAAACTGTGGTTAAAGAGACACTACCTCTGCTCTCAAAAAGCATGCCATCTAGTGGGAGAGACAAAGAATTAGTCTAACAATTAACATAGAATATGTAATTGCTATAGGCTCTTATCTTACTCTACCTTCTATTAGAAGTAAGTTTTGCTCTTATCTTCTCGCCCATAACTTAAACATCCTAA